GTTGGCCTCCAACCCCGTCATCCTGCGTCAAGGAGAGAATCCTTCTTGTTACTTGTAACAGGTACCCCCTAGTGCAGTAGGGCGAGTACGAATTGCAGATATCGTTTATCTATCTCGGCATCATGTCGGGATAACCAGATGATAAAGTATGAGTGTAGAATGAGTCATTCTGACTTATATTGAGCGACAAGGGTCCCCATCAATTAGTTACATCCATGTTTCCTCATGATACGGTTATAGATGAGGAGGTCTATTTTTAGATTTAACACTGATGTCTTCATATAAAGTGACACTGCAGCGGTTATGTTTGAGCCCACTTCTGTTGTCTGCCTTCGCATTTTTTATCGGATTCTAATCTGCCGTAAATACGGTGCAAAGGGTTTTGAAAAGATGAGAACGATACGATTATCAAACCTTCTCTCCCCGCCCACTATGTCGACGGTCCTTCTCACCGATACGCAAACCAGCATTACCATCATTCTCGCCATTTTCCTTGGTGTCTTCTTGCTCTGGAATAGCTCCAGTTGCAACATACCTTACTTCAATCCGCCTAGATTCTGGCAGTTGGGTAAAGCAAAACGCGACTTTATCACGAATGGCATGGAGATGATATGGGCAGCCAAAAAGCGGTTTCCAGGCCAACCGTTTCGAATAATGTGTGATCGCGGCGAGGTCGTTGTGCTGCCTCCACATATGGCCCACGAGATTCGAAATGAATCATCACTGAGCTTTTCCAAGGCGATGCAAATGGTTAGTCAAACTAGCAATTATCATTTGTATGGCTGCTTTCTAAGAGCAAAAGATAAAGAGAAGGGGAAGAATAGACAAAGGGCTGATAGCATCTTAAATAGGACTTCTTTACCCACCTCCCTGGATTCAAACCTATAGACCATATAGCCCACAAAGGTGAAGTTCTACAACATCTTGCGAGAAGGCCACTTACAAAATACTTGAGTATGTTACATCTTTGACTGATAAGAAATAATTTTAACTTACAAGTTATTTTGGTCCATAGATCGCGTCACAAAGCCGCTCGCATCAGAAACCACTTTCGCAGTCAATCTCATTTTTGGCAACTTGCCAGGTAAGATTTGCAACTGCCTTCAACTAAAGTCTATTTAGACATCTTGCACTTATTCTTACATAATCCCTAGTGTGGAAGGAAACCTTGATACTAGATTCAAGCCTAGATCTAGTTGCACGCCTCTCGACGCAGATATTCTTAGGCGACAAATTATGCCGCAACGAAGAATGGCTTCGTGTGGCAAAGGAATATACCATGGACATGTTCGAGGGCTCGCGCATACTGTCTGAGGTGCCTGGCCCGCTTAGATACCCGTATGCCTTATTCTCACCCCACCTGAAGGCTTTACGAAGCAAGGTAAATCGTGCGAATCAGATACTGCAGCCTGTTATAGAAGAGCGAAGAGCGTTTAAGGAACAGGAGCGCAAGGCAGGCAGACCTGTCCCTGTGTTCAATGACGCGCTTGAATGGGCGGAGGCAGAATGTCGGAACATCGAATATGATGCTGCGGGACTGCAGCTTAACTTGGCTAATGCTGCGATTCACACATCGTCAGATTTACTGGCCAAGACACTCTTGCTTCTGTCCAACGAGCCTGCCCTGATTGACCCCTTACGAGAGGAAATTGTGCGTGCATTACAGGAATATGGGTGGAGCAAGACGGCACTGCACTATATGAAGTTGCTCGATAGTGCACTAAAAGAAGCCCAAAGATTGTTGCCAACTGATTGGCGTAAGTCTTCCGAATGTCTCTTGACAAATACCATGAAATAACTACTAACAAGACATTACAGTAGTGATGCGCCGTATTGCAACAAAGGATATACACTTGAAAAAAGAGAATATCAAAATTCGTAAGGGCCAATACGTTATGGTCGACTATACTACTACAATGGATTCGGCCGTCTTCAAAAATCCCGAGAAATTTGATATATACCGCTGGGTACGCATGCGGGAAGATCCTGTACTTGCTCACAAGGCTCCGCTTGTTAGTACAAGCGAACTTCAGCTTGGATTCGGACACGGGATGCATGCCTGCCCTGGTCGCTTCTTTGCGGCTAACGAGCTCAAAATCGCTCTATCTTACCTACTGTTAAATTACGATTGGGAGGTAACTTCAGGCACGAGTATGAAACCATGGATGTTCGGGAGTATGCCTTTAGTAGACCCAAGCACTACGTTAAGGTATCGGAGAAGGAAAGCAGAGATTAATCTGGACACTTTACAGTGCGAGACCTAGTAGCGCTGTCTGCATAGTTACCAATGGTTAGTCAGGTTAGTCCGATTAGTCTCGCGTGTCTTGTTTTTCTCAGTCAAATTATCTTGTAGATTTTGAACAAGTTTCATTAATAGAATCAGAATGTTATGATACTAAGTTAGTTAGTTTTGCTAGAAATCGCCATCAGAACTAATATATATAGTTTTGAGTTAGTTACTTAGGCACTATCTACATCATTGCGATAACTATAGAAAGCGGCAACATTATCATGCAACTAACAGCAATGCTCCTACCACTACTTAAGAGTACTAAAAGCGACGCAGTAGGTCTCGTAACCGTTAGAAGGGGTACAGTTCGATTAGCCATAGGAAATATGTCAGAAACGATCAGAGTAGTTAATAGAGTTAGTAGGCTATATACATGCTTATATCACGAAGTAGCTAACAGCTTTACTATTATATTACAAAAAACTAAGAATACAGACTACTAAAATTAAGACTAAATACTATACCCACTTAATAGTGTATAAGCTAAGTAGTCTAGACGTAGAAGAACTATTATAGGTTCTAACTAGTAACTTTGTAAGTTTAATAACTTAATTTATATATTATCTTATTTTCTAGCTACTATTATTAGAATAGTACTATTAAATAATCTAGCAAATTTCTATAT